CTTTCCATCCTCCATTTAAAATGTTGACCCTGATCACGAATTTTTCTTAAAAGACCTTCTTAAGTTCATGTTGACTCATTAAGGACTTGAGCAACTGTCGATTAGTAATGTAAATAAAGAGGAAGTATCTACACTGTTAAAAGTGCTTGCTTCCATAATTGATGGAGGGTGGGAATGACTATTTTATCGCCAATTACTGTGCGAATCGTCACTTGTTATGAGTACGAAGGCTTAGCAAAAATCTGGCGGGTTTCAGTCGTTTGCTTTATTCCATCTCTGTGAGAGAAATCCTGTGGCGATATGAGCCTGCGGTGCCAACCTCGTGAATCCGCGTTTGACACTGCGGAATGAGCCAATTGGTGGAGAGGCGCTCCACTTAAGTGGATCCATCTTCGCCGGAGTGCACGCGGTCAAAGGCGTTTGCGTGTGGCCTGAACAGTTGTTGCCGCCGCCGCACAGACTTCGTCCTCGCCATTACTGGAGGGCTCGTTCAGAGGGCGTCAGACACACGCTTCGCGAAGGTGTGAAATACACCCGTCATTTTCGCACCTCTAGGCTGAGCGATTCATCTTTGCTACCCGCAGAGAGGGGAGGCACTGGTAGCCACGATGCAACCTCGCATAGGGAGGGGTGCCGGGACACGCAAGTAGACCACAACTGTTGCCTTAACTTTTGGTATGCCAAAAGTAACCAAACAGAAAAGCAAATAACTTTGTGTGGTAAACAGCCAGTGTAATGGTTTTGCCACTTATGTGGGCGCGGATTTGCCTCAGAATTTTCAGGTAATACGTATTAAACAAAAGCTAAGCGAAATTAAAATTATGTCGAAGTATTCGATGTAGTTTTGGTAAACTTCATTTTTTTTGCCCTGACAATCCTATAAAGTTAGCCAAGGAACTCACATAGACTAATCAAAAATGATGCTTTTTGTTTGCAAGGAAAACAACCTGATCTAGTTAAGACATTTGACTTAACTAATTCAAACTCTGTTAAAATTTGACGTCAGATGGGTGCAAAGTGTTTTTGAATAGGGACCTTAAAATCGTTATTTAAATCGTCATGAATGCACAAGGCAAAATTTAACCAATTCTAGTCCCTTTCACGTTGTCCGAGTTCGTGTGTGTTTAGGAGGCTGAACCAATGAGTGCTTCGTCGTGTGATCTGACGATGGCAGGTTGCGAATTCGGTAACTCAGAGCTGGTACATAGCACGTTTCTTTTCGCTTTTTTAGTGGCCTGCTTTCGGTAAAGTATCGTTTACTCGCGCTACTGCCGTCTCTTTGCACTGCACATTTGTATCAATTTCATTTTGTGTATCTCATTATGATCCTTTGGTGCGAGACGTGCTCATTTGCCAATCACATTCCTCTTGGTGTTTCAACTTTATGTCGATGTGGGATTGAGATTTCGTTTCTTTAAAACGCTTTTCCACATTCGCCTTCCGTAAACTGAACATCATTCAAGTTTATTGGAAACATGAAATACGGCTTTAGCTCAAAACACCATCTCTCGTCCAACTGATTGGGATACGATCTTCCTTTATAGCTGCCATTCGAAATCGACTAATTCCTCACTGAAATTGAAAATTTTTTAAAGTACATTCTGTTAGTGCCTTTGTTTCCCAAAGGATTCCAACAGTTTCTGGTGAATTCTACATGAAAACGTTTCAATTATGCCTACAAATACCTTGCACAAAAATAAAACAACTTAACTTAGCACCGAGAGTAATCCAACTTGGATTAATTGAGGTGATAAACCTATTGGAGAACAATTCACGTAGGAGATAATTTTTATTTGAAGGTGTCTCACATTCGCCCACCGATCTAATGTATGACCTGATCATGGAATTTCATTTCAGGCATTCAACAAGACCGGGAAGAAACTACTCATATTGTGAAAAAGAAATGTTTGAGATCAAAAAAAACAAGATTTAATGGGTTGGAAAAAATATTGGTATTTTTTAGAAAAATGGATAATCCGTCATCTACAGCCACATTTACAAGAGGTGAGAATAGGTTTCTGCATTCGGTACCAATTGCAATGCGATCTATCCGCATTCCGTGGACAAACGTACCTCAGCAGCACCACAGTGGTCTCTCTGTGACCAGAACAGAACATTCCAGGTGGCAGGGAGCACGAACTGCCACCGAGGTTCACACAGCGACCGTCTTTCACCCAACGCGGCCAGTAGTGGTCGCCGTAGTCTCGCCAGATCTGGAGAAGCGGGCACGCCGTGTAAATTCCGCTCATTCTATCGATTCGCCTCACAGATATCTTGTGTTTGTATAACCTGAGGATATCTACACGATCCTTTATCTCATTGAAGGAGGTGCTTTGATTTTTTGGAAACACAAGTCGCCCCTGAGGGTAGAGCACTCTTTCCCACGGTTTCGAGAGCGAGAGAAGATGAGGATTAAAGAATTTGGGGCCCAGTAAGAAGAGCATTTGATGAGGCGGAAGCAGGGCCTCAGGTGGAAGGGGCTCTTCACTTCTGAACACTGTTGCGTGATGTGAGTTTATAGTTTTGTTCCGATTGCGATACTGGAATGTCTGCCAAGCAGCTTCAGAAATAGCAGCCGCCTGTGTTCGATTAATCTCGAAGCGGAGCCAGTGCGCTGCTCTTGAAATGATGGGTATTAAGATGACGAGGCATAGCAGATGCTTTGACATTGTAAAAAGGCCAACCTAATGTGCGTTAATAGGGGTTACGCAATAACATCAAGTGCTGACGGCCTTTCGACCAATCGGGTTTTGCGGCCTTTGTAGCGAGTAGCCAATCAAGAAGCGCGCGTGTAGATAGGGCAATGAGATTGGGTAAATCATCAAAATTTAAATTAATTTAATGAAATAATCATTCCATCTGTGACCACAGATATGGATATGCTAAATAACATCGCAGGCTTTGTATTTCGGGGTATCTGACTGGCGGTAAAGAAGCTCTGGCCATTTTGACGCTGGAATGAACTTGGTGCAAGTTCTCACATGCCGCGGGTGTCAAATTTCAGCATTCGGTAGCTTAATCATACTCCGTTGACTGAAACTGGCTTGCCTTGCAACTTATGGTACACGTTGTGCGTCTTAACAACCAACACAAATTCACCTGTTTTACGCCGACCAACAGAGCGTCCAGTAAAAGCATCTATTTTTTTAGACAAATTCGACTTTTCAGAAACCGACTTCAATTTTATCCAAGACGGATTCGAACTTAATCTATGCGCATTGTGGGCAAATACCGGCTTGTAACTTAAAAAATGACTTCACAAGCTCCTTGCCTAACAGTGGGCAATTGTAATGATAAAAGCAAGCTGTAATAAACTAGGTGAGCACTATAGAAGTCCATTAAAACTCGGGAACTTTTTTAGTCTGACCTACTACTACCAGCATCATTTAACAGTCTAGAACTGATCATTTTGAATGCAGTGAAATTGCAGTTTTCAAAGTTGCTGGAGATTGATTCTTAGAGCGTCAACTCCCAAAACGAAGTGATTTGTCAGGAGTCCCACACTCGTGACCACGTCATGTCTATTCACGGTCATGCGGAAAGTCTAGCTGTTGTTCCAAAACCTGGTCTGTATTAACTCAAGGATAAACAAAAGAAATCAGGCAAATGGAATGGTCAGAAATCTAGAATGCCACCTTGTCGTACGCTAACAAAAGCGCTGTCTTAAGGTGTTTCAACAGTGTTTAACAAAATAGCCTAAAATTGGACTTAAAAATCTTCAAATTCAGCTTTGAATTTCTCCCGATCGGCTATTTTCAGCTTCTCCTCCTCCCATTTCTCGAAATTACTGGCGTCGCCAGGGCTTTTTACTTTCGGCACGTAGGGAGGCCGAACGCTTTGCTTGTAAACCGCCATAAAATCGACGTCACTGAAGTAGGCATGATTTTTTACATCCATAATTCCATTGCGTAAATTACCGTAGCGTCTAGAGAGGTCTGTTTGAATTAGGTTCTTGATCAAATCCTTTAAATCTGGACCGAATTGGTTTGTAAATTTAACCTTTCCTGAGATGATGTGCTCAAACGTCTTCATTTGCTCCTGGTGCATGAATGGCGGGAAGCCGGTGGTCATTTCGTAGAGCAGAACGCCGTACGCCCACCAATCAACAGCGTGACTGTAACCTTTATTCATGATAATCTCCGGGGCCATGTAGTCTGGCGTGCCACACAGAGTCCACGTGCGTTTGTCCTTGGGAATGAGTTTAGCGAATCCCAAGTCAGCCACCTTGATGAAGCCTTCCCCGGTTATGAGGATGTTTTCTGGCTTCAAGTCCCGGTACGCAATGGTGAGGTAATGCAGATATTCGAATGCCAGGAGGACCTGCGCGGCGTAGAACTTGACCATGCCATCTGGGAAGCGACGCATATTTCTAAGCAGACCAAACATTTCACCGCCAATCACGAATTCGGTCACCATGTAAAGGTAGCTGTTATCCTTGAAACTGTAGGCAAGCTTGATTACTTGCTTTATGTTGCACGCGGCAAGGATACGCTTTTCCATTATCGCATTGTCAATCTGACGAGATTTGACAATTTCCAGCTTTGAAAGTACCTTCATGGCGTAGAACTGATCGGTGTTCTTGTAGCGGACCAAAAGGACCCTTCCAAAGGCACCTCGGCCGAGTGTTCGAATGCGCGTGAAGTCATCCCAACTGGCGGTGTTCTTGGGAGGAGAATTGAAGACCTCGAAGAATTGCTTCGCCTTGTTTTCGAGGATCTGATCAAACTCGGCCTGCGACATTACGTGTGTCGTCTTTTGAGTGGCTTGAGCGCCTTCGGCCTCAGCAGATGCACATGCTCTGCCGCGATGTTGTTTTAACGAGTGCTTAACACGGCGGTTTAAGGCTTTGCAATCAATGGGGCAGTTTGAAATCACGTGTCTGTCACGCTGGTTGGTGGCGCGCATCACGTGACCTCACAAGCACCGGCCACGTGGCCAGTGGCATTCAAAGATGAAAGTGCTGCCGATTAGTCTTCCAGATTATGATGAATAATGAATTGTTTTTTTTAATAAAGCCATTAATTCCTTCTGAAGGAAACCTTTTAAGAGTTTGAGGACCTGGCCTCGCTTAATCTGTGAGGCTACCAGGATGCTTTCACCAAAAAACCACGGGAAACGTTGCTGTACCTGCTTTAGCAAAGGTCTACGGACTGCGACCTTTGAAAAGCAACTTTCCAGATGAAGTACAGCATTACTTCTTGTCTCTAAGCTATGTCGCACAGACTACCTTGGCCAGAAGTAACCATGAAATTTATCCCGACTTTCTGAGCTCTTGCTACGTCGACGTCGTCCGTCAGTTTTGTGAATTCCTCGTTGCAGTCCTTTACATGTACGGAGCAATCACGAGCCTACTTCCCTTCCATTCCATTCACACCTGCCAGAGATGGATGTCAGCAATCGTTAAAGGAGTAGCTAACAATCTACCACAATGCCGACACAGACGGCTTCAATTTTGTAACCACTAAATGCGAACAATCGGACATGGCATCATTTACGCCTCAGTTACCAATTCGAAGTGGCCTAACTGTACACCACGAGCATTAGTGGTTCCTATTTGAAATATGTTGTTTGAGAAATTGATCTTTGAAGGGACGCCAAAACGGTTGAAGCCATCAGGCAACTAATCACCTTGTGCCGATTAATGGGGGTGCAATCGACGGACGCCGACGCCAACAGCCTCACAATCGGAGCTGTATTCGCCCAAATAGATGTAGGAATCAAAGAGAACCTTATAGACTGCGCAGGTCGGTGTCAGGTAAGGCCATAGTGAAACACAATTCTACCAATGACTGCTACTATTGGAGAATTATTAATTAATAATTTCATTCAAAAATGGTTAAAATTTTCAGGAACGAGATAAAAAGGCTTTATGAAAGACTGCTGCTCGGAATCATTCAAACGAATCAAGATAAATTATTGGTTGACTTAATTCTTGATATTCAACAGCTTTCAAGAGGCGGTGGCAGTGTAATTAAATTCTCATACGTTGATTATTTGTTGAATGATTATCTTAAAACTGCAATCGTTACTTAATTCATCTAAAAGGGCTGTTAATTAACTAGCCACCAAATTAGGTAACTGAAAATAAACGACGAAGATGATGATGATGATGATGTTGACAAAACGCCTATCCTCGCAGGCAATAAAAGCTTCTGAGCACTGAGAAAAGCCCATCCAACTCAATCATTTTTCCCCAGAAAAGAATCACTGATGTTTTACAAAAAATCTACCAGCGACTTACGAACCCTATCAACTGAACGTCCAGCTGCAGCTGTTAAACATCAGATCTCCAAGCTGGTTTCCAGTTAAGGACGCAGACCTACTTCTCGTGACAAAAAGTTGAACTTGTAGCTGAAAATAGACAACTTGCAGCAATTGTCAACGGCTGAAATAGTTGAAGTGTTGAGCCCACTGTGTGCTTGTCTGGAATTAGTCTCGTTCATTAATTACTCTCAAGGCTTGGTCGTACCTTGTGAAGCATGTCATTGTTGAACCGACAGCGTGTCTAGCAAAATATTATTCAAATGAATTTAGTAGTAGACAGTAGCCAAAAACCAACCTTCATGCAACCTTGTGCGTTTAACCAACTTCAACACCGTTTTTTTGAATGATTTCGTTCATCAATCTTCAGGAATTTAAGTATTAAATTACTGTTTTTTCCAAGCATTAGTGACTGACTGTTATCCTTTGCTGAACCAAATTTCTTTTGTAGAATAATACTTGGGGCAGATCCGAAGCCAACTACCGTTCAGTCAGCCATATCAACGGTACTGGTTTGGTCACTCGGAAGGTAAGGAAGATTCAAAATCCATTTCAACCAAATTTTAGTAGGTGACAATTAATAAGAGATGCTAACTAGGTAGCTTCAAATTAGAAGGCTTAAGAGCTGACGGTCAAAAGTGTATTAAGTAGCCAATAGACGGCGAGATCAAGTGCTTCTGTTGGTCTCAAGTAAAGAAAAGGCATTGGCTCTTGTCTAACAGTGCGGGTTTGTGCTGTGCGTGCGTGTGTGTGTGTGCGTCATCGTGACACCTGGTGAAAAATGCTAATTCTACAGTTGTGGAACTGGAGGTGGGGCTAACGTTAACGCAGACTTCTTTTTCGGACTGTCAATAAGTGGTGCTTCGTCTAATGTGGTGCTTTTCTTCGTGTCGGTCATTAATTCGGACTCGATGATTTCAATTGCTGGATTCGTCTGAAAAAAAAAATCAAAAGACAACACATTGTAATGGAAAAAACAACCACGATATCAGTGCCAGTTTTCTCATCATTTGTTTACAGTTTCCATTTGGAGCAATATTGTAGTAGATGCGAGGTTAGATTTGCCAAACAAACGTGTTTCCTGGTCCCCTAATTCCTGAACTTACGAGTACTTCATGTCTGACTCTGGATAAACCAAGCTGATGTATTTCTATCCAAGAAACAGGATTTTGGTGCCTCCTGTCGGATACTAGCAAGGTCAATAACCATCCTATGATCTTAGACAAAGTCAGGTTACAAATACTAGATCACACTTCAACATTTAGTGCTCGGAATCATCAGAGAAGACACCAGCCAAGATCGAGTGCGTCGCTGTGACAACAAACACCTTTCTGTAATGCAATGAAGTGTTTCTATCTAAGCAAACGCTTTTGCGGCGGTGCTACTCAAGTCGACATATGACTTGCTTTATAGCATGGTAAACATTGTCTTAAGTTATTAATTAAACACACCAAACCAGCTCACTACATGCATGATCTAGCTACGCAACCACCACGTCAGTTGTAACTTGATAAGGAGGATATATCTCGATAAATCGTTCGCAAGCCTGTGCCGACGTCTTAACACCGTACCTTCGCGGGCGGTCGTGCAGGCGAGGTTGGACTCGGTGTTCTCACGACTTGACGTGAAGGCCGTTTTTGCGGAGGGGCTTTGACCTTCTTCGTCTTTCGGATCGGAATGGGACAGCAGTCGGGGGGAATCGGGGGTCGAGTGCGCCCTATTACCCACCACGTGCGCATCGTTCCCTTTCCCTAGAATTTTTTTTCGAAAAAAAAAGAAATCCCAAGGGTTAGTGAAGGCGGTGATCGCATGACATGCACGATTTCGCATCAAAACTCAAATCTGGAATGGTTGTAAATATATGAATCGACATCATAGGACTGTGGTAAAAAGACTGATCAACTTAAATTGCCAGTCTAATGGGTCCCTTCCTTCAGTTTTCATTGAGATTAAGTTTGTCATTTGGGCATTTTTAGCATTACAATAAAAATTTACACTCAACAGTAATTGCCATAAACCGTTTGTTTGCTAAGTTGAAAAGTTGACGCGGTGAGGCTACCTAGGTGAAAGCGCAGTTGCATGCTAAGCATTGTGGGCCCCACATTTTGCTGCAATAGCTCTGGTTACAAGGAGGAGATCAGTAAACTCCGCTCGTAATTGAAATTAATCACCAATAAAGCTGTGTAGTTGGCTGCAAATGTGTGCAGTGAAGCGAACCGTGGTGTTGATTCACCTCACTTAACCCTGTCCTCCCGTTTTCCTACACACCGCCGCTCCCGTTTTCACAGCGCGCCCGACGGCCATGCGGACCGTCCGCTCATTCGCTTCTGTGCAAGAACCACTCAGCCTCACCCCCGTTTCCTTCACCTGGCCACCTGTACTTTTACAAGTTCATCCAAACTGCCTAGGTCACGCACACATAGACGATAGAATCGCCCCAAAGAGCCAATACAACGCGGCGGCCCTTGTGTAGTTCAGGCCTCCATGCCGGGGCCTTCAACATGCGTATCAGATAAAGCGGAAGCTTAAAAGTCATTGGTCAAGATCACATGTCAGACTGATTGGTAGATTTCGTACAGCCCAACCATCACAACGTGTCAGCGACTCATTTAACACTTTTGCCAATTTGAGCCGTTCCTAACGCGACAGAGTAAGCCGTCTATGCAGATTACTCCCAGTTAATTGTTCCGAAACGGTAGCTGAGATTTTAAATTGCTATAGCGCCTGACGACTGCTTGATAAATCCTTGCTCTGTGTCCTATTTAAATGGCTGATAATAACGTGATAGAAAACCCACATTACGCAACCATTTCGAGCTAGAACGTTTATCTGGCATATTTGATATCATGGATGCAAATAGTTAAGAAGTTAACAAAAACCGAGAATGTGTTACCTTGACTTCAATTGTGCCTCTTTCTTCAAAAAGGAAACTGCCAAGAGGGTCCAAAATGCTGTGGGTAGCATCACTGCAGTGAATTTTGTAAGCTAAGAAGAGGAAATGTAATGTGATAAATCTGATCTTATGAAAAAAATGGCATTTGACGTTTAAAAGACAAACCTTCGCCGTTGCTTTCCATTCGGCTCGCGGTGTTGACGGTGTCGCCGAACAAGCAGTACCGCGGCATTTTTAAGCCAACAACTCCTGCACAAACGGGTCCTACAATAATAAAATGCCTACTTATTAATAAACAGTAGTTCTATCAGCAGAACTTTGCATTAGGTTAATCGCTTTACCTGAATGAAGACCCACTCGGATCTTGAGAGGCTCGTTGGGCATGTGGGGGATGACGAAGGAATGCGAAACCTCCACCAAGTCCAAGGCCATGTCGGTTATGGAAACCGCATGACGCTGTCCATTCCTTCGTGGTACACCGGAGGCAACCATGTCTTGAAAATAAACAAATGCCGATGTTCCAATAATTAAGCCGCACAAAGAATGATCTGTGACGTGGATTTGGTCCACCTGTTTGTCATTTGACATGATTACCCGAAGGCACCGCGTAGGTGTAACATGGTTTTTCAAGCGAAAATGACAAATTTGTCGTGGATGCATCCATGAAATAATTGTAATATTGTTACCAAAGACTAAAAAGGCAATTGTTGCTGAAACGTTTCCGGTATATACAAAAAAGCACCTACATTTTTTGTGAGATTGACTCGCTTTAGAACAGGTAAAAAGACAGACAGGCACTAATCCGGATTAATCTAGACGTCAAATTGTTAAAGGTACAGATTGCTGCATCAAGCCATTCCTGTGGACATTATTTAACGCCGACCAAAAAAATCGGACCTTTGAATAATTGAAAAAAAGTCTGGAATCGTGACCTGCATTGCCGCACCACCACAAAAGCTGGCCATTGGTTACAAACAACACCGCTTATCCACGACCATTGGAATTGCCGAACGAAATGAAATAGTCGCTTCCGAATTGCATTGTACAAACATGTACTCGTTTCTAGTGGCAAAATATTCGAAAGTTAAATGTTTACTAATTCGATCTGGATTTCAAAAAAAAACATTTGTGTTGCATGGTCTGGTTTAACTGGTTGGCCTTGAAAACGCTTTTGTCCATTTTACTAATTTTTGAGTTGCGTCTTTATACGACGAAAAGAAATTTTAGATGGAAATTTAGATGCACAGGTTTACTGTTTCAAAGAACAGACGGCAACATTTACTAATGAAATGAGCAATTTGGATGCGATTCAACTAGAATCATAAGAAGATAACAATCTTAAACGATCAAGTAACTTGATATAATGAATTTCTTGCATTGTTGGTGTTCTGTGAACAAATAACTTTAGAATCAATTAAAGAATGCCTACTAGAGCCCCTTGATATTTCAAACTTACATGCATCTCCAATGGTCTCCACTTTATAGACATCATACCGATCGATGATTTGGTCAAATTCACTGTAGAGTTTGTTGAGCAGAGCAACAACCTATCAAAACACATGGTAATAATGAAAGTAAATAAGCAATGGGGGATTGTTGCTATCGTTAGTGGCATACATCTGTGAAGCAAAATCCTCCGAAATCTCCATTTGGCTAAAAAACAGGTTCGAGCTAGCGTTAAACATTGGTCTTCATATAATCAAAACGCTAAGCGATAAAGATGGCCGTATGCATGGTACTACAGCACTAAATATTTACATCAATTGTAATTTAGTTATCGAAAAGTTTTAGCAAGCGCTAATATAAAAAATTGCAATCGACAATTATTGAACCTTTCTTTGTTATAAATCCAAGAAAGGCTGTTCGGGAGACGTGGGGTGAAGTCACACCTCCCATAAGAGTTACGTACTGGACACGACTGCGTGTTTGGCAAATTTAATGATTTGACCATGAATTGCTGGTTAGGTTTGCCTACAATCTAGCCATGAACCTGAATTCAGGGGAAATTAAGCGCCCTGGTGCTAGCTTTTGTGACTGCACGGCCGGTTAAAGAGTGATGGGATTCTAAAGCAACGCCCCACTGCAGTACTTGCGTGAAGCAGGCCTACCTGGAAGGGCGTTGAATCGGATGAGATGTTGGTAAAGCCGACGATATCGCTGAAGTAAATGGTGCACGAGGAGTACGCTTCAGCTGGCACCGCCTGACCGCTTCGCAGCTGATTGGCGATCGTCTTCGGAAGCATGCCTAAAGCATGGCAAACGCAAGAAGAAATGTAACCTGTGCAAATAATTTGTTTAGTTTAAAGGCGCCACCAAAGATGGTCAGGCAAGCTCCCGAAATGACAAAATATTTGCTCGATCTATGGCCTTTGTCAAATTGCCAGCTCTTTTTAACATAGGGAACTCACGTGGAGACTTATTTTTCTGCACAAAGCCACTGAATAGGGACGAATTTGTGAACGTGAGGAATTTCCGATGTTTTATACAAAAAAAGTTATTTCATACTTAGAACCCAAACAAAAGACGAATAGAGGTTGACAAAACATCTTTGAAATGCTAAAAGATGAAGCCTTTTCATACGTGCGTGTCTTTCGTTTGGGTGATTTGGTTCAGTTTCTGCATTTTACCTATTGGCGTCCTGCTGAAGGAGCACCCGTATACGTTGTAATTGCTATTTGAAAAGCGTAATTTGCATAACTTTTTTAACTACAGGGTTAATGATGCGATGTTTGCATATGGAGTGATTTCGCATATGCGGGAGCTGGCAGGTAGCGCAGTGACAGTCGATTTCAAAGCCAACATGGTCACAGTTCACCGGTTAGTGACATCTGTGGTTGACTTTTAACGATCACAGCGCACTGCGGCTATACGAAGTGTGGAGCTACTAGTCCACATTATTTGAAAAAAAAAACACAGAAGGACATTTTCTTATTAACTTCTATAAGTGGGTTCAATTTTTTTTTAAATCTGCTGCTTTCCTTGATATGAAGTTCAAATTGTTAATAGTTTCAGTGTTGCTATTAAGAGCACACCAACAATATAATTGTCAAGGTCACTGCAAATGTCGCCACTTCGTGCATTTGTGTTTACACCGACGTAGCAAACAGCTAAAACCTCTAAAAAGGAAAGTTGTTAAAATGGATTCAAAGTTACAATCTTCCCTCTGATGAATAATTGCTGATATTAGGGTTTTCCTTGCGGTTCCAATTTATACGTGGTCACATGAAATCAATTAGTGGGGCAGCAAGTCCGATGCAAAATCACAGCGAATGCGGAAACATTCTTTACCTGTGATTTCTACCATCGTTTTAGCATTTAAGAGGTTGACAAACCAGCAACATTGCTTGAGCTGAACCGCTGTACGCCATACGTTACTCAAGCCATTCTGCGAAGTGTAATATTTCACTACCACCACCACCACCACCACCACCACCACCACCACCACCACCACCACCACCACCACCACCACCACCACCACCACC